AGACAGCCTTTAAATCACTTTATATATACAAATATCTCATTCGGGATTCAGCAAGATGAAAACAATGCACAGAAGATGGCGTACCTTATAGATCTCTGACAAGTTGGTCAAGTGCAATATTAGTGCTATCAAAATCGTGACTAGACACGCTAAAGGAACGAAAGGAGATGAGATGCTTCCGGACACTTGAATCACCACAGTGGTTCAACCAGACGTTCGCCATATATGCTAAAGGTCCCGGGTTCGAGCACCGGTGGATGCTGAGTTTTTTTTTCTTTCTTAATCAGATCCCTCTTCTGTTACGTTTAAATTTATATTATTCATTGCATCATTCCTCTTGCTGTTTCTGGAATTTTTCCCCATGCCTTTATATACTTTATATACAATCATCTTATTCGAGATCTGGGACTTCTTTGGGAATTTATATCCGATGAGAAGCAACATTTTTTCATACTCTTGTGCATTGCAAATAATAGAAATCTATGCGATACGAATATTTGACGACAAGATGAAAATGTTCGTATTCGTGATTTATCTATTTTTTTAATTAACTTGAATAAAACCAGCTTGCATTTAATATCACATTAAAATATGGAATAATGTTAAAATAAATGCACGTTTTTATTTATTGCCTGTCTTGCAGAACATGGTCGAGTTCGCCGGCAACCAATCGTACAAGGTAGCATTCATTCTTGCTTTATCATATCTAATCTTGCTATTTGTACCTTAATAACCGTACTCAATTAAAATCAATGGTGGGAATAGAATGTGGTGTTTCGATTAAATCCATATAAAAAACTATTTTGTTTCACCTTACATATCCCCAATGTGTCACAATTTATTAAATATCATAACATTTCTAATGATTTCTACGCCGACATTACTTAGCTTTACATTCGATCCAAAATCTAAATTATATTGTTCAATGGCTTAAAACCTCTTAAAAACATTCATTCTTGGCTTTCAAAGAATCGTTTAAAACTTAATGAAAACAAATCTGAGTTGAATTATTTTTGTGCACTAAATTGTTAGGTATAATTATTGAAAAGACTTGTCAATTCTAGCATTGGCATTGCTTCATGATTTGGCTATTTAGATACACTAGAATATAATTTTATCGTAGGTAATCTTCCGACATTAAAAACCGGTGTTAAAAGATTTTTTTTTCCATAGAATGTTGGTGACCGATTTAACCCCAATGCACTTTCTCTCATAAAACTGATGGAAATGCTCACACATAGTGGATCTATAGAAAAGCTTATATGTCGTAGCTATAATATATAATTTGCAAATAAATTTGCTGCGTAGCACTGTAAGCACAATATAGACAAATGGATAAATAACAATAACAGAGCTCAGATTAGGAACAAGATGTTACAATCTTACTAACCATAGCCCTTCAACGGAAAGTTCTTTTCCTTGTTCCTAAACTAGTGATACTGGTTATACGTGCAAAAAATATATTAGTCTTATAATTATTGTATCATTTCTTTACTTCTCTTAGAGGCTAGATTGGATGCCGCCAAAGACCCACTGCAGGATAACATGATCGAAACACCAGATTGTCCCCCTGGTTATTGGTGCTAAAAATGGTAATAGTTTCTTTATGGAAATTCTAGGATACAAATTTGATAAACCCCAAAACCCAATTCTTGGCGTATTTTTATAATTTTCTCCAAAATAGTCTCATGTAGTATTATGAATATTATTGATTTCTTTCGTTTTCGTTATTTCAACAGTTGATTAATCAATCTGATGGGCTGAAGTAAAGAAGAATACAATAATCATTTACTCAATCGCTAGACTTGGTTCATTACATGGATTTTCTTCTATTTAATTCTATTTTAGTATAAACAAATTCATATTATTATAAATTACATAAAATTATATATAATAATAATAGCGATTATAATAATAATTATTATTATTAATATTAACATTATTATCATTAATATTATTATTATAACTATAATTATTACTATTATTATTACTATTGTTATTATTATTTTATCGGATTTTCAGTACCCACTGCTACTCGGGGATCGGATTCAACACTAGTCACTAAACGCAAGCCTGGTAGTCTAGTGGTTATGGGGCCAAGGTGGTTTTATCTAGAGGTCATGGGTTCGATTCCCACTCGAATCCCTTGAAAATGTTTTCACAAGTATTTGGGAACGTACTGAGTACTACGTACGATAACACGCCGGGTAGGGCAAAACATTACTCCTATGATACTGTTATTATTATTATTATTATTATTATTATTATTATTATTATTATTATTATTGATATTAACAATATAGATAACAAATTTTCGTTTTTGTAAAGCTAGAATGGAAACGGTGTACTCCTAGTATTCCTGAAGCTAAATGAAATTCTTTCAAGATATTAACAATATATAGCACATAATTTTATGATTAACAGCCTCATATTAATAAAAAAAAAACATCTTAACGCAAGATATAAAAGTGATTAAATCTGTTATAAAATAAATGTTTGTTTAAAAATGCACTAACATCATTGTGACTAAACTTTTATTTATAGTTGTAGACGATAACATTTTTTTATTGTCACTTGATCTCTTTAAATCATGAAAGACATTTGGCCACACATATATAATATATTCTTTTTGGTGAATGTAGTCATTATACTAGTATTACGATTCATTTCAATAAACTAATACATCGATTACATGACATACGTATGTGTCTATTGTATTATTATGGTGTCATTGTATAATGGTCTCGTGTTCCTAAGAAATCGTTAGCATAAGGGTTGTTTAAATGAAGACGGACTGACAATTGCTTCTGCTGCTTTTACACTCCTGTATCACGCATTCTATAACATAACAAGTGTTCTTGAAAAGTGGAAACTTGCTCATGTTTCTCCAGTCTACAAGAAAGGAGAAAGTTATCCATGTAGAAGTTACAACCATATCTTTGACCTGCTTCGACCTTTTGTTTCGACAATTACGGCCCACAGTAGAAAAATCTAATAGGCCTATCATCTGCCAATAACAACATGATTTTCACAATGAACGCAACGCTCTACAGAAACCCAGGTAATAAGACTTGTGGATTAATTGAGCGTAGCAGCTGAACGTGGGTTTGTTGATGTCCTAGTTCTAGATTTTTGCCAAGGCATTTGATAAGATTAGCCACTCACTTCTTGTTCACAAGCTCAGTAGTGGAGTAGTAAACCTCAAAAATTAGACCTAATTAGGGAGTAGGTGCCACCAGCAGAAGAAAAAATGCATTTTATGTGACCATTTTTGTATATATGTTCTTCTGAAATTGCACGATGACATCTCTGCAACTGCTGGCAACTTTTTTTAAATCTCTTTAAAGATTAACCTCTTTTGTGTTTTTTTTTTTGTTTTTTGTAAATAATAAAAAAAAAAATAGCACTGAAAATTTAGCCCGGTGAAACCTATGATCAGGCATACTATCATTCAGGATAGTAACATGATCACAGGTAAGCCATTATAGGCTATTCAAAGTCATTTTAGGTAAAATAGTGTACAAAGTTTAAAAAAAAGAAGATAATTAATTAATTTATTAAATGTACTCCTAAAGCCCAGGGTCATGTTTCAATAGTCCGGGAGCCAAGGCACGTTTACTTTCAAAAAATGACCACATGCTTAGTTGGTATATCAGGCTCATTACTAGTATGCATCATATTTTCTATTATTTTAAACCAATGACTAGGTATAGCTCTTTTTAATTAGGTATAATCCGAATCCAATTATTTTAGTAAGATATTGGGTTAATCAAATTAGTGTATAGAATAATGTGTTTCGCCTGAATTAAAGTAGATTTTACCCAATTTTTGAAGTAAAGTGAATTGCCCTTTAAATTAATCAGGGTATTACCCAACAAATATTGTTCTCTGATTTCCATTGGTTACGCTTGATGTTGTTGTTCTAGGTTGTTCTACGAGCACATTTTAGGTAACTTATATTGTTAGCTATAATAACATTTGAGAACCGGTATGTGTAATTAAATAAATCAGACCAATTTAAAAAGCAGATTGGTACAATTTAGATATAATTTTCCACAAAGCATTATACTCGTTAATTATTCTTTTCATTTGTTTGTAATGATTTACATTGTGAGCTGATGTTAGGCTATTTCAGGCCTCCCTCGTAATAATCTTCTATTAAAGTACTTTTTTCACCTTTTTAGTTTTATCGTTCCAGAAGAAATTAAAAATTAGTTTGTTGATCAGGGAGATGTTTGTTTGTGGTGTGTTTATAATACTGGTTTTAATTAAATAAAAGTTCGTTTTGCATATCCAATGACAAAGTGTTGTGCTACGGTACCTCCCAGAATCTATCACTGTAATAGTGCATTCGAAGTACGGATCATCTACTAAGTCTTGCTAACTGCTAGGGCTTTTCCCCCTTAGTCTGCAATATCACTTTAGTATATTTGGTACATAAGTCTTGAGTATAGGCTACTTGGCTCTACCTCCTCCGACCATCTATAAATGAATACAACATTTATATAGAATGGTATGCTAATGGTATTCCTTTTCTATCAAAATACGCTTTAACATATTATACATAGCATACATTTAATATGTATATACATATTGAAGGTAAGTATTCCCATAACATATCAAAATACATGCACTATTAGTACTACTACCCTATATATGCCAATAGGTAGATATTCTGATTTATCAACTATTAACAGTACTCACGGTCAATTCTTTACTTCATTTCTTGAAAAATACTGTGAAGCTCTCTTACTTCAGCTATCACTCACGTATAATTACTTTAAGCTTTTACATATAAGCCTTGTACTTTTATCTTAAAATGTGCCTCGACTGATATGTCCTTTAACCGACACTCCTCAGTCCA